CAGACTTCATTTATCTTTATACTGTATGCATGGCCTCGTGTGCTCTGTAGTTCTTTAGCCTGAAATTGCAATGTGGAATTGGCACTGTGAAGGAGTAGGCTGTAATTTTCAAGGTGGCCTCAGGTACAATAAAAGAAAGGCGTCGTTTTTACCTAACCATGAAAATACAAGCCATACATTTTTTTGTGACACTTATTTTGCCACTAAGAGCAATTAATTTTACTGTGTCCTTATATTTCGATTTTCATTTGTGGCGTGCTTTGCATTGGGGATCTCTGCTGCAGCCTCAGCTCTGGCACTGCTGTGCAGTCGTGTGGCAGAGGATGTGGGTGCTGCGTGGGACAGGAGGGCCGAGCGCCTGCTATTACACGAGCTTCAGAGGATTTCCTGGGAAGTGTTCAGCCTTCATTGCTGTCTGTAAGGAAATCCTCTTATCTGGGCAGCGCAATAAATAGTTGTGCCTCCTGTGCGAGAAACAGAAAAACACATTCTTCAAATGTCTGTCATCGAAAATGCGGGTTTTTAAAGTACATCAGCAGGAATTATTCTTCTGTAATAAATCCCCGTAATAGCGTGCTATGTATACATTTAACTAGATACACAGAGAGGGGGAGGCAGTGCTAGAAGAGGGCTTAGTATGCATTTAGTAATGACAAGAACAGTAAATAATCCTGCAGGTTTACAAACCTAATCCCGAATGTCTGTTTGTAGCTCTCGTGTCTATTAGAGTCCGCTGGCAAAGATGTTAAGAGGCTGCAAAGAAAGGGCTTTTTTGTTTTTCATTTTTAAATATGCAAGGAGACGGCTGTCTGACTGGCAACAGTAAGTTACATGGATGTGGCTGACCGTGATGAAAGTTCTGGGAGCTCCTCTTCCTCTGCCTGCAGTGAGAAATGCAGTGAGGAAGGAGCCGGCTGCCCCACTTCTCCTTCTGGCTCTCTGTCCTCTCTGCCCAACAGTAGTTTCATTTAAACATGGCATTTTTTGGTTTTGCTTTTTTTTTGAACGCAGAACTTATTTTTTGTCTGTGCCCTGCAGCAGAGCGGGTTGTTTTTCTTAACAGAAGAAATCCCCACTAAGAGCTGTGTCACATGGCACTACTGCTTTTAAATAAGCTTTTAAGAGGTTGGACCAGATGTTGGCCACATCTGTGTTTTCATTTTGTTGAAAATTTCATTTCAACCCTTTTATTAAAGGGGAAAATTGTCATTTGAAAATTGTTTCGAGAAGTTTAGCAGCTGGGAAGATCTTTCTGGTATAATAAAAGTAAAGGGGTATGCTTTCAGTGCCCCGGAGCGAGCAGATGAATGATGGTGGCTGGTAGGGTGTGCTCATGACTGCCATGGAAATTCTCAGATCAAAGTGGATGTATTATTCTTTGAATCGGCATTGTGTAACAAAACACTTTTTTTTTTCCCAGTGATAGTGTTAAACTAAAGAATTGAAGGCTCCTTCTCATCTGAAAAGCCCCTTGCAGTTAATGAATGCCTATCACATAGGCAGAAGAAAGGGCTACTTGCAGGCAGTGTGGATATCCTACAATTACTCCCTCTACTGCTGTTATGGGGTCTAAGAAATGCTTATTATATACAACTTGCTTCTGGATTTTTCTCTGCAGTTTACCAGTTGGAGAATGAGTTTTCTGTCCCTTGTGCTAATTGATCCAATGAGAAGAACTGGCACCTAGTTCAGTAACAAGTTATATTTAAAATGACACGTGAAATTGTTCATGGTGCCTGAAATTACATCATTTTCAGTCTGGCATAGTAGGACTGTATAAGGAAACAGACATCTACTGTACTGTGCCATATTAAATTTTAAACCTCTGATCCAAAAATGTGGCAGAATATAGGGGAAGCAAGGTGTTTAATGTCAAATAAAAGCAGCGGCAGTTGATTTTGCTGGGATATTTTTATTGTTCCTAAAACGCCGTGACAGTTTTAGCAGCAAATATTTTGGGGATGCAGAAAATTTTATGTTAAGTTGAGCTGTGACTTGGGTCCAGAGCAGTTCTCAGACACTACTGCCAGATTTTGGTTTCCTAGCCTGTGATGATGTGCAGACCTTAGCAGTGAGTGATCTTTCAGTTTGGTTCCTTTTTAATTGTGGCCCTAATGTATAAGCAGTCAATATTTTAGTTTATTTTTTCCCAAAAATCTTGAAGATAAAAGAGGCTGGTGAAACAAAGAGAAGGAAAACCCCATCCTTCTGTCCTACAGCTTAGTGCCTGCAGCACCTACCCAGAGCGCAGGAGGCCCGGTTCTGCACAGACTCCTTAACCCAAGGTGGATGACAGCCTCGGGCACACTCCTGCTTTCTGCTCTCAAGTTATTTTATTTTGTGTACGTAATGAAACCTTTCTGAGAGCCAGGTGTGCAGTCTCCTGGGAAGGCGTCTCAGACAGTAGACTACAGAGTTCACTCCTCGTCTCGGTGATTATTTAAGCGTTTCACTCACTGGAAATTCACGTATCAGTTCCAGCAGGAGGGACTGGCAGTGGTGCTCGGCTGGATGCCCTGGCCTCCCGTTGGGGATGCAGCACACAACCAATCCTCTTTGTGCTTTGCATGATTACGGCTTGCTAAAAAATTCCAGTCAGTTGTATTAATGGTATTTTAAAGAGGTAACAAACCACTTGGATGTGTTTTCTCACTTTGATTTTCCTTTCCAACCTCGTATGAGGGCATGCTTTCATAGAGTCAAAGAACCAAGTTCTGTTGTCTAGTTATGGCCACAAGTTGTACCAGAGGAGGTTTAGGTTAGATATAAGGAAGAACTTTTTCTCTCAGAGAGTGGTCAGGCACTGGAATGGCTGCCCAGGGAGCTGGAAGAGTCACCATCCCTGGCAGTGTTTGAGAGGTGTCTGGATGAGCAGCTACGAGATATGATCTAGTAGCTTGTGGTGGCAGTGGTAATGGGAGGACAGTTGGACCAGATGATCTTGCAGGTCATTTCCAACCTTGCGATTCTATGATTCTATGAACCATTAAGACTGGAGAGGACCACTAAGGTCATCTAGTCCAAGTCCAACCTACCCTCACCATGCCCCCTGCCCATGTCCCTCAGTGCCACATCTCCACGGTTCTTGAACACCTCCAGGGATGGTGACCCCATGGGCAGCTGTGCCACTGCATCACCACTCTTTCAGAGAAGATCCAGCCATGCATCCTTGGGCCACATCTCTGTGTGTGTGGTAGTGGGTGCTTGAATGAGGAGCTGGAGGCCCCAGAGCAAGGTGTGTTCTTACTGCACACTTTAGTGTAGAGATAAGAGCAGGAGATAAGCATATGTGCTGAACAATTACATAGTTAATAGTTATAACAGTCATAAAGCAAAACTTTCACACACTGGGATTCTAAAGTATAGTTAATTTCTAAATGTAATATCAGTGAGATACGTTCCTGAAAGCTTGTTCAGTCATATTTGCATGGGATTATCCGAATTGGTAAAGTTGATACTGTATTTATGAAACAATCCCAGAAGAAAATCAAAACAAAGTGTTGGGCGATTCCTTGCATCAGGACATTTTCTTTGGGTCGAAAGTCATTCTGTGTATGATTCGGTGTGGAAAGAATTAAAAACTTTCTGTTGATTAAGTTGAATTTTGAAAAGCAAACTATAAGTGCTCTGTGTCTGATACCAGTGATGTCTGCAGGGCTGAGCGGCCTGATCCTGTGCACCACCTCAAAGAGCTCAGCCCTCATTCCTACGCAGAAGTTTGGGTTGGATTCCAGCCCTCTGGTTTTATGTACTTCAGGAACTGCTTTAATGCCTGGGTTCTGCCAAGCTGAGGATCACTTGTATCTCCCAAGAATGCTCTGAATTCCTCCCTTTGCTTGTTGGCTCCATCTGATGCCCCTCAGGGCCCTGCTCTCTGCTCTGCAAGGAGCCACCAGCCCAGGCAACCGAAACGTTCAGCAGCCTTGGGAAGCTGAGGGGCATGTGCTCAGGAATGGGGAACCATGTCCCTGAAGTTATTAAGGCGTTCCATACAATTTCCTGCTGTTGCAGATTGCAGAAACTTTATTTATTTTTCTTGCACATCATCAGCTTGGGTCGCCTGTTGTCCAATCTTGATTAGATGTAATGATCAAGGGGTTTTCTTCATTCCTCAGAATAAGTCTGTGTTGAATAATGTATTTTCTTCTCTACCTGGACAATACTAATGGTATATTACTACTGTACATTAACATGATGTGGAAAATCAATTTTGCTGCTGTAAGTTGTGCTGGTCCCAAATTAGATCTTAGTTCTTTGCTGTTATGACTTTTAATGAATGGAATGAATCTTAAAAATTCTTGTTTTCGGGAGAAGTCTTAGTAAATACGTAGCTATAAAAATGACAGTGATGTTGTAATTACAGAAACTCATTATTGCTGCACATTCATTTAGACCCTTCCATAGCTTTCAAGTTATTTTAAGGTTTGGAAATGTTTTCATAATTCCCATTTTTGAAAAAAATAATGCATATTTTTACAGAACTGATATGAGTTAGATGGTTCGAATGACTGTAGATCAGAATTAAGAATAGAGCCGTGGTATGACTGTCAGTGTGATGTATTATTCACTGGTTTGTGCTGCTTCCTTGTAAACAGAAAATATTTTCTAAGCCGTAATTTACAGATAAATCACCAGGATGTAGGCTGTGGTGGAGAAATCCATGTTATGGTGAATGAAAAATGGTGTCATCTGAAATGGTTTCTCCAGGTTCATGGTGAAAAAATGTGGCTATAAATTAAAAAAGAAAGAAAAAAAGGACACTTGGAAATGTGTGGTGGATTTTTGGTCCTAAAGAGAACCATACTGATTCCTGAATTATAAATTAGTTCAGTGTGGTGCATGTTGGTGTGGATACCCTCGAATGAAAAATACTCAGCAATCTCTTAAACCTCACTGCGATGAGTGCAGAAGGAAAGGCAAAGTGTTACTTTACCATAGGACTTGAATTGCAGTTGATTTTGAAGAAACGTCTAGCTAATTAAATGTGTTCTTTTATGTAGGTGAAAATACAGGAGATGGTGAATTAGATCTCAGTGGAATTGACGACAGTGAAATAGATAGGGTAAGATGCGCTTTTATCCCGAGTCTCCCTGCGTTTGCATATCTGAGAAAGAAAAAAATGGTTCTTATCTGGTGTATTCTCTCCATCTCTGCCTCCTCACTCTGGCAGTGCTTGCCTCTGATCTATAGAGAGGTTCAAGTGATTTCAGTGATCTGGGGTCAAAGCTAATATTCATGCAAGCCTGTGAATTTAGTGCTTATTTTATGTATGTATGGGACTGCTGCTGCTGCTTTCATACTGTGCTGGCATAGTTATGTTTTAGAATGCCTTTTATTCTTAGAAGAACTTTTAAAAGTTTGGTGGATCTCTAAAATCATTATGTAATTACAGTATATTCATCCTATGAGGCTGCCATGGAAACCATGATGTAGAAGCAGCACATACAGCTTCTGTGTGCTTAAAAAGATACTCGTAGCATCTTCTGGACTTATTATTATTTGTGTGGCAGCACAAGGTACCCTTCCCATAACAGCCTGAGTATAAAAGACAGCTGTGGAAATGGCCTGTTAAAGGGCACACAGCAGGTTAATGCACGAGTCCTCCCATCAGGGCCTGATGTCCTCTTCAGCTGCCACGAGAGTTGGAAATGAAAAGTGCAATTTGAATGGATAACGCTGGTACTAAAAACTGCTTTTTGGGGTACAGAGCCACTGGAGAAGGGTTTCATAGAGATTGCTGAGAATCAGGCTTGATCTGCAGACTGTTCTTGGTGAGGAATGGAGAGGTGGGCAAATGCTCAGCCTGCGGTCAGCTGAGCTGGGTGTGAGGAAGAGCGTGTTGAAAATGGAGTAGGCACGAGATGGAGGGCAGGGAAGCTGGTGACCTGCAAGCTCCCAGAGCTGATTCTGAAGGGCTTCAAAAGAGCAGATCAGTCTTTGAAAACAAAAACGGAGAAAGAAAAAAGCACCTTTTCTCCACTTTGTAGCCCTTAGTGAGGTCATAACTCTGCTTTTATGACCTCATGTTCATTTCCATGGCAATAGACTGTAATATTGTAAGCCCAAGATTATGAACTCGCTAAAAGCATAAGAAAGACGAATAACTGAGCTATGAGGAAGTTTTACTATTATGACCACCTTTAATAGAAACAGATGAAATAGTGAAATAGTGGCCTGATAAACCAGCACCTATGCAGCTGTTTGTTCGCTCCATTTGCCGTCCAAGGAAGGACCCCTCCCTACATTAGTGCCATTTGCCTGGAGTTACTTTTCCCATAAAATTTTTCTGTCTACATTTTACTTCAGAGAAAATCTGGACTACTAAATCCTGTAAGACAGAGAAAATTAGATTATTCTTCTAGCACTTAAACATTGTTTTACAAGTTTGGGGTCCATTGCTTACAAGTAAATTGTCTTCTTTATGAAAGATTATCTGGTTTCTCTTCTCCATTCTGCAGAAGTTCTTCAATGCCAGACAGCATGTGCCATATAGAACCTTTGCTTTGCAGACAGCTGGGCTTATATTTGTGTGTGAGAAATTGAAGGGGACATCTATCTAGCAACCTGCCAGCCTGCTTGCTGCCTACCTACCCACCTATTTGCTTATTCCTGTGATTTACTTGAATAGTTCTAGTTGCTTTACAGCTCCAAGCTTACTAACAGTGTTGCTGTGATTTAGTGGGGTTAACTGCAGGAAGTTTAGATGTGTGTACTGCACCCAGCTCTCTGAAGTCTAGAGGACTGAACCTCCAACAAACTAAGCTGCTTTCATTCACTCAGACCATAATTTTGTGCCTAAACCTTCCCAGAAACCTACCTAGAAGACACATGTTTCTGTTTTGGTAGTGCAAGGCAGTGGTTCCCATACTGTTTTGAATTACAGACCACCATCACCTCGCAGAATTACTTACAGACTGCCATGTTGTCATGATACTCTCTTACATCATCTGAAAAAGATCATAAAAACAAGATCATTCCAGATTAATTATGGATCAAGTATTACGATCATGTATAATGAGTCCTGGATGACTGTCGACCACCCCAACACAATTTGGAAAGCCAGCACAGTGTTTTGAAAGCAGGTCATTGTTTTTCCAGCTGTAGAATTTGCTAGAAATGCTCTGATGGTTGCATCTTGGTCATGTTTTCTTTCATGCTTTTTTGTTCGTTTGTTTTTTAATAAAATATGAATTGACCTTGTTAGTGGTTTTTCAGTTCAGTTTTGCACTATGATTTTTAAGTCGATTTCTGAAAGCAGATGAACTTGTTTTGTCTTTTAGTATATACTTAATGAAACAGAAGCTCAGATAAAAGCAGAGCTGTGGATGAAAGAAAATGCAGATTACTTGAAGGAACAAAAAGGTAAGTGGATAGGACTGAATTTCTTCTTTTGGCCAGGGTTGCTGAAATATGCAGTCTGCGTAATCTTCATGCTGGTTACCCTTTTGTCATCTTTCAGAAAAGGAAGCAAGAATAGCAAAAGAGAAAGAACTTGGGATTTATAAGGAACACAAGGTATCAAACTGTGTGCTAATTGTGTCTGTTTGAAAATGTCTTGGAAATTCTTTGTATCTGTTGATCACCCTGTGTAGGATGTGGGGGTAAAGGGATGGGTCACCACTAAACAAGCCAAACCCAGTATATTTCTATGCATTACATAAATAGAACACTATAATTTCTCAGGTGATGAGTAAAACACTTTCTTGCCCAAATGTCTATTCTGAGCTACTATTGGGAAAAAATTCAGTGCATGGTAAAATCAGAGCTAGTTCTTGCATTTAGGATTGCAGCCCTAAATGCTCACTTATTTAAATACAGTTCTTAGGACATGCCTGACTTTTTTAATGTGTGCATGGGGAATTTGTTTGTACTTGCCCTAACTTTAGCAGCTTCCTCTGCTCTTGCTATAATGATTTCTTTATGGACAACTGAAGAGGTCTTTGTTACAGCCACTTAAAGAAGTATTTAGTTGTACCTTTCATAAAGAAGGCGATGGTTGTGTTAACAAATGGCTCATCCTGTCTCCATGTTTAGCAGTTTAAAGCAACCTAATTGGCCATATATTCACAATTTATATCGTTAGTGTTTTGTGTAATTGAGCAAGTGACAAGTCAAATCTTCCACATGCAACTGAAATCCGTGTTCGTTTTTAATGTGTGTATCTTGTATCTTTCTTTTCTGGCTAATGTGAAAGACAGAGTTTCCTACCTCCCCTAGGTATTTCAATAGTAAAAACAAAACCAGACAATGAAACACTGTTTTATGCTTCAGAGTTTCTCATTCATCCCGCCCTTCCAGGGCCATGGAATTCTACCAGCAATTTTCAGAATTGTATAACTCTCTGGCACTGAGAAGTAGCCCGAACAACCCACCTTTTTGTTCTGACAACACAGGAGTTTTTCTCTAGCTGTATTGTTTCTGACAGCTCGAGTAGAACTTGATTAATATAGTGCTTTCCAATTTCAAGGTAGCACTTGACCCATGTAGGTAAACAGAGGGGCTATTATACATTAAAAAATAAATCTCCTGCGGAGCTTGGTGTTAAAACCTTCCTTTGAAAAGGAAAGGGCTGAATGAGAAACAGAAGATCTTTTTTTTTGGTACCTAGCTAGGCACCAGTCCCAGATAGAAGTGTTCCCTGGTGTCATTTCTCTTTGTCTGGGTCTGTGCAGCATCAAACTGCTGCGCAGTGTTAATGCTGGGCTTGCAGTGCTTGGCCGAGGGAAGCTGCTCTCTCTGTGGGCAGGTGATGTTGCTGCAGCGTCCTGCTTCCTCTCCAACAGCATTATTGCTTAGAAAGCCGCTGCTAATTTTCATGACTTTTTTCTATTTTGAGGAAGAGTTGGATGTGCAGCTTTTGGACTTCATATGAAATGCTGTTGTCAGTGCCTAGGGAAGTGCCCCAGCTTGACTCTCACTTGGAAGGTAGTTTTAACAGAGGAATTTATTTACATGCTGGGTGATGTTATCAAGGTCCCTATTCCCGTAACGGGAGCTCTCTCCACTTTTTTCACATGTGAGAAATGGCCCACGTTTCTTTTCTGGCAGCGGTACAAATGTGCAGTAAAGAATTTGTAATAAACTGTGTGGGCATTTGGCAAAAATGGGAAAGCCTACACTGAATTCCTGTAGAAAGAGAAGTCCCTTAGCCTTAGTCTTGCTCAGCCCCAGGCCAGAGAGCGTGACCTGGCTCGGCCCCATCTCCCATCCTGTCCCCGAGTCACCAGCACCTGTGCAGGGACTGCGGAGCCACAGGTTGCCCTTCTGTGCACAACCATTTTGTTTGTCTCTACATCACTAATTTTATATTTTAATTAAGCCAAAGAAAGCTGCAAAGAAGCGGGAGCCAATTCAAGCCAGCACAGCAGGAGAGGCAATTGAAAAGATGTTAGAACAGAAGAAAATCTCAAGTAAAATTAATTATAATGTGCTAAGGGACCTGAACAGCAAAGGAAGTAACACACCAAAGAAAGAGGATGACAGCACTGATGACAGCACCAACACCAAGAAGCTGTCAAGAAGAAAATCTATTGCCAGTAGGAATATAGCCAGCCCTGTAAACAGTGTGGGAAAAAGGTACTGCAATTGTTCATTTCTATCTCTGTCTGTGAGACTGTCTATGTATCTTTCTGAGCCAGACAATGTAGGTACTGAAACATTTGTCTGAGGCTAAAATAATGCTGGGGTCTTGTTTTTATTTATTTTGCCTGCAGTGTCACAGTGGAAACTTATTTATGGTTCGCATATCAAAGGTCTGTTTTGGTGTGAGTTAATCATTCTGGAGAAAAAAAAAATCAGTGGAAATTCATAAACATCAATCTTTGGGCCACAAACAGCTTTTCTTCATATATCCCTGACATTTGGTGTCCTCCCTTTCTGGCTGTCTGTATCTGCTGACATGACACTAAATGCTCAAAAGCTTTGGCTTTTTGCTTCATTTGAAAAATACAGTTCCCATCTGTTATGACAGCTAGCTGTTTTGATTAGCTTTTATTTTAGTTTTATTCCAAACTTTTGTTGTTAATTGGTGACACAGATATAAAGCTTTACAGTAAATATGCTCGTCGGTTTTCTGGTCTGCATTTGCAAATGTTTTATAGTGCGATGAAAGCTACTATTTTAATGTGCAAAATAGTCAGACTTGCTGGGCAGATTTGTGGTGTGCTGTAATGTGTAGAAGGAGATTGATGTGTCCTATCTGCAATATTCAACTGTTTTATTAGCCTGCAGTTCCTGAAATCGTGTTGGATGATCATTTGGATGATCTCTCTCTATAGTAATTTCTTATTTAGTTGTTAGATATTTATTTACTGCCTAAAAGATGTTGTTTTTCTGCTTCCAAGCTCTACACCACCAGGAAATTCAGAGATTTAGTACAGAAATGCTAGATGGTGTCTTCATACTGTTGTTTGGAGAGTGAAGGGCAGGGGAGGGAATGGAGGGAGCAGAGAGCTGGGGTCAGTGATAGCACTGCCTGCAGCAGCACTGAGGTGGGCAGGGCTCATGGGAGGCTTGGGGTTGTCTGAAGTGAAAATCAGGAAGGAGGTGCTTCAGATGTGATATTTTCCCTTCCTAAATGAAGCAGCTTTGGGGAGAGAAAGGCAACCACAAGGTGTGAGAATTCATCCATTAGCAGAGGAGTGGGGACGTAGCATACCTGAGGAAGTGCAGCTGCTATGGACATGGCTATACACAAACCCATGATTATGACCTGGTTTGCACTTGGCCAATTGCATTGGCTTTGGCCAATGCTTTTAGCTTCTCAGCCAGAGTTGTGTCTAGTCTCGCTGTCACTGGGATACAGATCTTTGGAGTGTAACAAACGTCTTTTATTTTTCTGCTCTCCCTTCTTCATCCTGTATTTTATCAAAATGGCTTTGTCCTCATTCAGCTTCTCACCTCTCTAATATCAACAGCTTTCCAATCCATTACTCAGTGAGGATTTTAGTTTCCTACATAAGTTGCTACTTCAGGTCATCTTTAATGACCTAAACACACACATTTTCTAATAGAAGGAAAGTAAAGATGCATTCAGGATTATCTCACAGCACTGACATATGTTTTTTTTATTTGACAGGTATAGTGAGTCATATTTCTGTAATTGTTAGTGAAGCACAGCTCTGATGCAGTTGCAGAAATGGATTGCTGTGATGGGCAGTATGGGCTTGTAAGATACCCACTGCTTTTCAGGACTTAGCAGTAACACAAACACCTGAGCTGCTTCAGCACATCCATCCTGTGTCCCTCCTGGCCTGCTTTTCAACAGCATTGGGCACTTGCAGCTCCTGTTGAAGCCAGCAGGTTAAACCCTTAGCACCTTAACAGGTGTTAAACTCTTTGGAAAATCATGCCATAAATATTTAATTTAACAGTGGGGCAACTTGAAAAGGTTTCTAAATAAATACACAAATCAGTATTTTCCAAAAGCAGCTAATAAAATGTGTTTATTTTTCCTCTTGAGTGCCTAAAGTATGTCCTTAAGATGCATAACAGTTTCCTGATGATGATTAGCAGATCTTAGATACAATGAATTTTGCAGCAGAGCACTTCAGAGAAGGTTGATGATACATGCAGATACGTGGTTAAGATTTTGCACTCCAGAAGTAGGCAACATTTCTGATCAAATAATATCAAGGACTTGGCAAACCATTCGTTTTTTTATTTCTTACCATGAAAGATTTATGACATACTTTTGATTTTTTTGCTAGTAGTCTGAATGCCATGTCTTTTAAATGGCATGCATAAATTTTTGTGTTTTGTATTGTTCTAATATGCCATGCATTCATTTCCTTTGTTCAGCATTGTTCCTCTGAGAGGTGAATGGCTAAATACTTTCCCAGTGATACAAAAATAATGGCAATTTATATGCAATTAATAATAATAAAAACCTGGAACATTGCTCATTAGAAAATGATTGAAGCACATAATGTAGCGTTATCCAGGAGGCATTTGTGGAGTTCTTGCAAACTGTTTTGGTTTGTAGTGATTTACAGTCCAGCCTATTCAGCTTTATATGTCTGAAATATTTAGCAAGCTCTATGTGACTGCAGCAGCACCTTGCATAACGGTGCTTTGATGCAGTCCTTTAGTTTGTGTGAGATGTAGTCAGGATTTAAAGAGCAGCTGATTTAGTCCTGATCCCAATTAGGGCTAGGAAAGGAGTACTGCTTCTTGGTGATTAAAGCACTACTCCAGTAAAGGTATTAGATTGGGAAAGTAGATTTGATTGCTTTCTATGTGCAAGCAGAGGTCCTATAAACACAGCTGGCTTTGTCACGTGTCTCAGAAACCATGCTCCTATCCAATAGGTAGCACCTTGGAAGCAGGAGGTTTATCTCCATTTTTCATATGGTCTCTTGCTGTAAAACATGCTGCACTTGTATTTCTGGGAAGAGGACTTCAGATCTTCATTTGAAGATGTGGTTGCCACAGCCAGACATGGTGCAGTGTCTTTGTTTTCTAATGTGATGTAAAACAGTAGTTAGTTAGCAGTGTTGGTCTGTTAAACCTTGTAAAAAGTTGTTGATTTGCAAGTTGTTGAATGCTAACCATCCTCAGGGAGCATGCGCCGGTGGCATAGTCTTTCAGTCACATCAGAGCTATTATAATCAGCATTAACTTAATAGCTACTTGGAGCCAAAGAACGTATTCATCTCAACACTATTCCTTCAAAATTCCCAATTTAGAAATCTTGGAATTGTTTCTGAAATTTCCTCAGGAAGGTACATTGAAAGAATTAACTCCAAGGATAGTGCATAGTCCACCCTTTTTAGATGAGCATGTCCATATTCACCAGTATTTTCAAAAGCAAACTGGATTTTTGAACAGTTTTCTTTACTGTGAGTAGAATCACAGAATCACAGAATGGCCTGAGTTGAAAAGGAACACAGTGATCATCCAGTTTAGACCCCCCTGCTGTGTGCAGGTCGCCAACCAGCAGCCCAGGCTGCCCAGAGCCACATCCAGCCTGGCCTTGAATGGCTCCAGGGATGGGGCATCCACAGCCTCCTTGGGCAACCTGTTCCAGTGCCTCACCACCCTCTGGGTGAAAAACTGAATACTGTGCCACTTTCAGAGTGTAAGAAAAAGAGATGCTTTTTTACAGACACATTTTCCCTAAGTATACTGGAGTTGTACTTAATTTATTTGTCAAGAGAATGTAAAAATAGTAAAAACAATGTAAGCAACTTTAGGAAATTTTATTGTTTGTGAGTATATTTCACTGCATTTCTCAGCGCATCAGGCAAGGTTTCTTTTGGTTCCGGTGGGTATCGTGGTTGCTGCTTCAGAAGCAAAAGCTGTTTCATTGTGTGTTACAGAGATGTGGCACAGTGGATATTACCGTAATAGAGATTGTGACTTTAATTTCAATTACCAGTTGCACATTTTATCTTCACTAATGTCTTCTGTGCATATGAAACAGGCGTCGCAGAAGATGAATGTGTTGAACTCCTAGCGAAGAGCAATTGCCACTTTGAGCTACTTAAAACCTAAACTCCAGTGTGAGCTTCAAGTCCACTAAAAACAGAGTCTGTGAGCTTTTGGTTGAAAGCTAAATAATTTATTTTGTATTTGCCTGAGCTGAATCTTGCTTGCAAAGTGAAATGTGTTGTTCCAAGAAAATGTGGGAACAAAAAAGCTTTCAAGTCACTACTTTTTAAAAATTTTATGCCCATTTATTGCTGTGTACTTGAAATTGGTAACGATATTAGAGAGGACGGGATATATCATCAGGGGAATAAATGTGTCAGGTTAATCTCCTAAAGAATTTGCCTTGGAAGAAGTGGAGCAGGACTGCAAAGCACACTTGAATCCACTGTAATGAAACAAGGTTGTTCTGAATGGAAGCATATGAATATATAATAGAAAGCCAAATCAAGCTTGCTGCAAATACGACAAAAGCCCTTGGTAGAGATTTCAGGTTTGATTAAATTTTGAGTCTCACCACCAGGTTCTCTACATGGTCTCACTTGTGTCCTTTTGCTGGTAATGTTCCCCCCAGCAGGGTGCAGTGCCTGGGGCTGTGGGACTCAGTCCTGGCCTTAAGGGATGCTTTGGCTTAGCATCTGCTCCAGCTGTGTTTTTGTTGTCTTCTCAGGGGGTGTCACAACCCCAGAAAAATTAGCTTGGAAAAGAGGAGGCTCTGAGGAGACCTCATTGAGGCCGTCCAATACCTGAAGGCTTACATGCAGGAGAGGGACCGACTTATTACACAGTCTGATAGTGATAGAACAAGAGGGAGTGGCTTTAAATTAAAAGAGGGGAGATTTATCTTAGATGTAAGGTAAGAAATTCTTTACTCCGAGGGCGGTGAGGCCTGGCACTGCTGCCCCGAGCTGTGGGTGCCCCATCCCTGGAGGTGTCCGAAGCTGTGGATGAGACCCTGGGCAGCCTGAGCTGGGGGGTGGCAGTCCTGCTATGGCAGGGGATTGGAGCTAGGTGATCTTTAAGGTCCCCTCCAATATGAGACATTCTGTGATTCTATAACTGTATGAAAAATCTCCTTTATTAAGAGGGGTAATATGTAGGATGCTTTCTACAGCCTCATGTTTGGCATCTCATCTCACAATATGTTG